GGAGTAGAAACGCCTAGAACGAGAACTATTTCGTGAAGTTGTTTAATCATGGTTGTGAGCAATTCTCATCCTTCTTATTTTGTCTTTGTGCACTAGGCGCAGTTGTGTAGCAGTTGTTGCTAAGGTGTTGCTGTGTGTTGCTGGTGCCCTCAGCGCTGCAGTATTCTTCCCTCAGCGGTACGCTCGCGACGTCCCTCTTGTACATCAGCTCTTTTTGTTTTATTGTTTTTCCCATGTGACTTTCATTAAAGATTCTCTCCACATTGTCTTTTTTTATGACATGTTTTAGGTTTTTTACTTGAATTGACTGGAGCTGTGCAGCTGCAACCTTCTGGAAGCGCCGCAGATCCATGTTGGTCGTCTTTTAATAAACTACTACCGTATTGTACACAAGCTTAAGCATCCCTCACTTTAAGGTGACATCATTTGGAAATCAAAATGAGGGCTCAATTGTAATGAAAAAGTTTATCGCCATTCGCCACTGTCAGGGGGGAAACCTTGCTTCTCCCAAAAAAAGACACAGTTTCATGTTCATGTACCTCATATTGCTATGAGGATGCTAACCATCAAAATGTGGGTGCATTTCAGGACTTGCCACTTTGGCGGGTCGAATTTTATATGTACATTTAATTGGTACGTTGGGAAGTATTTTACTGATGGTCACCGCTGTGGGGAGCAGAGGAGAAGTGGTGGAGGTAGGTGGGGATAATTTGAAATTAGTTGAAGACCTGGAGGGAAAATGCAGAAACCTGATAAGACTGAAACGGGAGCCAAAAAAATAATAAAAAGTTTTTCATGAAAAGAGGAAAGAATGTCGAGAATAGCTCGTCACAATGACGCCAGGAGAAAAGTCGTGTCCGCCGGAGTATGAAGAGGGTCTCTTGTGGTTGGGACAAAGAACTTAAAAGTTGAAACAATCAAAGACCATCTAATTTCTTTAGGTTGCAATGGGGGTGTATCAAGTGAAGATGGCAGGTTCATGACACAACAGTGCGGGTGAAGTTTCTTGCCTTCACGAAGTCAGGTGAGTTTGCAAAATGCAATTTTGAAACAGTACTTTGCTTTACCAAGACTACATAAGGATGTGTGATAAGTATTAGTCTTGTTAAGGTATTATTCCTCTCTGTTAGTTGGATTTGAAAGAAACAAAGAATGTTATTGGAGGTATTTCCTGCTCACTGTGTTTACGATCACCTTTAGTGCACCTCGACCCCCACCACTTTTAGGGCTCCCCTCCATAGGACATGTTTAACATCAAAAGAGGAACTGTTATCTCAAGTATCTGTGTTCCTGCAATCACACCAAATGGTGGGTAGTGGTGGTCTGGTCTCACCTCACCACTCCCAACTTCTTGCAGCCACACCGGGTCAGATGACATGTTACTTTATTTGTTTCCGGGATTTGCATGAGAGGTGTACCTCCCCCGCTCTCATTATCATTTTGTCTCTACATAATCTCATGAATGTGTGTCTTTTACGCTTCCTGACTGAAATCTGGAACCCTCAGGAGCCCGAATCGATTCGTAAACTGCAGAAAATAAATTAAATCCTTTGAAGGAACTGTTCATCGACTCCAGCCTTTATTTGCAGAACCAACATTCTCCTCGTCCGAAATTAAACGAACACCCGGGGAAGAGGAGGCTGCTCTTCCCCCAACAGTCTTTACCAACAAAACTGCAGACTCAAGTTTGTGAGAAAGCTGGGTACCTACAGGTGCTGAGGTTGAGAGAAAAAGGCCCAAAGGTTGGAAGTACCATACTCATACAAATCTGGACTAAAGTGTCAATGTTTTACGTTACTGAGGCTGAAAGGGGAAAAAATACTTGTTGAAGAGGAAAAGTTTACACAACCTTATCAGAGCTGAATACTGCGTAATGGCCTGTGGCATTCATGAAGTCTTAATTTGAGTGTCCACGGGGGTCATTTGCATTGAAAAATTGTTGTAGATTTACTTCTTACGTTTAGCTTTTATTGTATTAATCATCCAACCACTTTTATAGATGTACTATTTGCAAAATTGTTGAAATTAAAACATGGATAATAGTATGTGTGACGTGGCTTTGAAACGTCCTACTGGGGTGGATTAGGACGGGAACGTCCCCATCACTGCCAGCCATGGTCAGTTCCCATCTGAGTTTCCGTCTTGAAATGGTTGTTTTACTATTTGTGTTTCGGCAACCGAGCTGCCATGAACTAAAGTAATCAAAAGTCACGTAATTTGAGTGTAACGTCAGTCTGTGCCTGAAGCGACATCCGATAGGAGTCGCTACTCTCTGATTCGAGATTTCCAACTACGTCACAGGAGTGGTGACGTTTATGGGCGGGTCTATAAAGGCTTGTTTTTTTCGCCGTTCGACATCTCCAGGCTCCATTTTGAGACAGCCTGTGTGGCAGTACAAGAAGAAAAAAAAAAAAAAAAAACCAAGGTTAGCCCGGCC